ACAAGTCAAATCTGATTTTGTACACTCGATATTGATTATGTACAGGTTGATTTTTGAACTTTTGGCTCCAGATAGTGACCCGATGAAAATTTTTCAAATCTGATGGGTGATTTGAATTGTACATATTTTGTACATTTTAACGACGTATAACTTTGGTGTTGTACAAATTCGGGTAAACATTTTCCGGGTTTTGATATTTTCAATTTTTAAAAATCCAAATTCTGAAAAAAATTTGTTGGTACATAATCATAAAAATTGTTGTACATAATTGTAAATAATTAGTACATTTTAGTAGTATATACGATTTTTCGAAAATTGACATCGACCGGAAATTGACTACCTATCCAATATAAAAAACATTTATTTTGAGAGATGGAAAAAAAATGTAATCGAGAAGAGGTAAATGATTATCGTGTCAAAATACTTATACTTTGAATTTGACCAATGGTTTTTTAGAAACGTGCTCTCTTTCTCTATCTCTCCCCGTTTTCTGACTGTGCTCCACTCAGCAAGTTTGCCATTAGTTAGGCGAGAAAAAAACAGACTACATAAAATTTATTCCTCTCGATAAATAAAATGGAATTTTTGACACCATACATACACCGTACTTGGTTCATCTCTCTCATTCTCTATCTATTTTGTGCGCCCCACTATAGTGGGGAGGATATTTCTCGGACGATCAACATTTTAGACGATTCTCATGTGTGTATTATTCATTTTGAAAATGGTTTCAGTCAATTTATTTTGCAGCACATCTTTCGCATCTTTGAATTCGAAAATAAACATTCCGTTTAGAAGCGGTTATGGATACTTGGATAGGTAACGTTCATTATCGTTAGCTTTGCCAGAGTTAAAGGCAAAAAAAACAACAACAAAAAGAAGCAGTCCGAACTCGACTGTATATATACCGAGTGAGTGAGAGAGAGCATTTGGCTACAGTAACAAAATGTAAGCATGGTATATGTGCGCGCACGGTCACGGTCACATCATCAACCGGTGAGATAATTTTGTATCAATTGTGTAGCCATTTTTCGCTGCTGCTGCTGCACTTTATTCTTTTGTATGCTTTCTTTGTTTCTTTCTTTCAATCATTTGCTCTCTCTCTCTCTTTCTCCCTCTTTCTCTTGTTGTTAATCCTACACATCTCCTTCTAATAGAGTTCGAAGCTTGACCTGAAGCCACACAGATACATACATATTTGCCTTTAATATACAACAACAATCGGTTGCGGCATATAGCGCATCCAAACAACAACACTGTACTAACGAAAAATTATCTACAATTATTTTTTTTCTTTCTATTCAAGGAATTGACTGCGTTAGCAGCAGCATTCTTTCCTTGTGTTTGGCTCGACATAAATGAGCAACAATTCTGTTGCGAAAATTGTTTTTTTTTTTTGTCTAAATCATGCACTACTGCAAGAATGTTATATATGGACTCACTTCCAGAATAAAAAATATATTTTTTGATACATTTTGAAAAAAAAAATTCGTGAATATTGATGATTTTTTTTACACCTCATCCTTTAATTTTGCTTTTACTTAACACTCTTAGAATAAACAAGTCGCAACACTCGCTTATTTTCATTTACAGTTCTTAGCTTAATGAATAAATAAATCAATTATCGACTCATTATTGTTATACCATTGTGTTGTTTGCTATAACAAAATCTCACAACTCAGATTGCATAATGCATAAACCCATTTCACTCTTAGCGCATCTTTATTTAAACTATCTAATGATTATACTTAAAAAATATTCAATGAGAACAACAAATGTAAATAGCTTCTGTTCATAACACCATTTCCTCTATCTCATAAATTACGCTAAAAATGACAGAGACAGCACATCGCATCATTTGTATGTGTGTGTTATGAATGCGCCTTTTTATAGTTTGCAATTAAATTTCGGCCAGATTGTGTGAAAATTGTCGAGCGAAATATAAACAATACATTGGCTATCGACTAAAATGTTGATGCAGTAGAATAGAAGCCTAAGAAAAGTAATGATCCATAGGTGTTAAATGTTGTGATTATTGATATATTTATTATATTTAAAAAAAAATTGTTAGAGTGTGCTTCTTCAGTAGAGTGAAAGTATTTTTCAAATTTCGTGTCATATCTCGATGGTCACTTGGATAAACATTTTGTGTGAAAAAATAACCTGTGCAAAGTTTCAGCTCATTACGATATCATACAGGCATGGCTTTCATACGAAAATCGCATTTTTTTGGAATTTTTGTATGAAAAGTGTGTTGAAAATTATTTGTATCGCAAAACTAACGTCATATTCGGTTTTATCGTACCCAAAAACCTCCTAGTACATATTTTTCACAGGCTATTTTTTCACACAAAAATAACATTCCGAGAGTTTGAAGAGATTTGAATGCATAATAGGGGTACCTCTTGAACAAAATTTTTGATTTTTTGCTCAAAAACGAAAATTTTGTATGGAAGGTACCACTCAATTGTATTGAAATCTCTTCAAACTTTCAGAATGTTAGCTTTTTGTGAAAAAATAACCCCTGGAAATTTTCACATGATTATGATATCATACATGCATTGAAAAGTCTATCAAAATTATTTGTATCGCAAAATTTATATCAGATTCAGTTTTCTCATGAATTCATATTTATGGTAAAAGATACGTAATAAATGCATGTTGTGTATCACAGTGCGGAAAAGTTCATCTTGCGGATGTAAGACATTTTATTTTTTGTTGCTCAAGACAGTATTTTTCTATTCAAAAAATTTAAAAATGCCATAAATTAATCTTTTGGCATCCTTCCGACTTATTGCAATGATAAAACAATATTTTGAAAAATACACTCACATAAAAGGCGAGCTCAAACAAAAAATGCGATTATATGGCTTTTTGTGGACATGTCGGTTTTTGATGACCGTGTAGACTATACCTTATCGCAAAATACATTGAATAGGTTCTGTGGGATACTGTTAGTTAATAATCAATGAAAATATTTGTTTTATTAGTGCATCGAATCCTTTAAACATCGCCTTAAATCTACCTCTCGAAACCATTTTGAGCAAATGCGGCAGCCTCCCTTCGAGTGAAATTTTCTTGTCCAGATGTTGGACTGATATAATGAAATAACTGTTCAACATGATGCTCGGGGTCTATTTTAAATAAATCACTAAGATATTGCACACTCTTAAAGCGATATCTTGGATTTTTTCAGACATTTCTTCAAAAACTGCCATTTTCAAGGTGTTCGTTTCCTCAGCCTCTATGACAACATCTGAAATCAATAGAAAATTTCCTTGTGGCTCTAGTAGATAGAAGAGTGTCCGAAAAATAGCACCAAGCTCAGTTTTGACTTTGTTGACGGGTTTATCATACAAAAACTGATGTTTATTTCACAAATCGGATTTCGTTTTTTTTTGGTTTTTCGAAAAAAGACAGAGGTTGGTCTCTTTCAAGCTCTGCAACTTTTAGGTCCGTGGACGGATTTGGTTCAAATTTGTGGTGTAGAGATTTGAAGGGTAGTACTTCTTAAAAATAATATCACTTTGTAAAAAGTGACACCTTTCATTCAAAAAGTCAGATCATTTTCGATCAGCATGGTAAGACAGCGACTTGAAAATAAAATGGGACCATTTTACTGGTAAATCATAAGAAATTGCTGTAGCCTAATCACCGTGAAAACTTGTGAATCTTATTTTCTGACCATAATACATAATATCGCAAGTTTGATGAAATTTCAATCAAAAATAAGGGAACCTCCCATACAACATTTTCGATTTTTTCGTTTGTAGGCTAAAAACCAAAGATTTTGTATTGGATCCATCATTATTTATGATTGAATTTTCAAGTAAGTTATTGTTCACTAGTCAAAATGTGTTGTTATTCGCCAACAGAGTTGCGGTTTTCACACTAGAGGTGCGTGCACATAGCAACGCACACAATGCTTTTGTTTTCATTGTGCACAGACATTTACATAGAAGTTTGACAGTTGTCGAAAAATTCAAAACTGATATTTGAAATGTCAAATTTCTATGTAAATGTGTGTGCACATTGAAAACAAAAGCAT